TAGGGATGGTAAGAGAGTGAGTGGTAAGATGGGGGTAGAGTAGAGATATGGAGTGGAAGTGATAGGGGGGGCTGTGGGGTGGTAGAGGCAGTGGTGGTAAAGGTGGTAGGGGTGGTAGGGGTGGTAGGAGTGGTAGAGGTGATAGAAGTGGTAGGGGTGGTAGGGGTGGTAGGGGTGGTAGGGTGGTAAGAGTGAGTGGTAAGATGGAGGGAGGGGTATGAAGTGGAAGTAATAGGGGGTGCTACGGGGCGTTAGAGGCGGTGGTGATGGTAGGGAGTAGATAGAGTGGTGCAATTGGCAGGCGCCACTACATATCCATGGATTTTTGATGGGGTGCACGTGATGTCATGTGAGGTCACGTTACAGCGTTTTTTGCACGGAAAAGTTGGTTTTTCTTATATAGAGAGATAATTGGACATTGGTACGGAGTAATTATCCCTGCTTGGACGGGGCGCCAAGCCCACTATGCCAAGTTTGTCTTAGCCTCACCTGGTCGCCCCATCCCGCATTTGGAACAAACCGCCAGTAGTTAAATCCCAGCCCAGCCCAGCCAGCTACCTCACCATTCCATCATTCCAAGGTTCAAGGGGGTGAGGAAGTCTGCGATATAGCTTCAGAGAGCTCCAGGTCAGCCTGCAGTATACTTGTCATTTACATATCCGCCTTTCGAGAGCCCAGGCGCAGGCATTCAACACACATGGACAAAGCAGCGTCGCACTCACTACCAACCTCCATCGGGCAACATCTCGACGCGAAGCGCACTGCTGTTGAAGAACCAAATAACGCCCCAGACCCTAAAAGAATCAAAAGCTTTCATGATGGGTCGACAGAACCGGAGTCTAAAACTCCGGCTATGAGGACGGTGCCTTTCCCGGAGAAGGTATGCTAGGGCCTTTAAAAAAGAAATGGCAGGAAAACCGTTCTAACTATTCTATGAAAGCCTGCAGTTTTGGAAGAACGAAATGGCGAGATCGAGTTCCGAGTTGTCAACAATGACGGCTCAAGAGAGAGTACAATCATCCTTACAGGTCTCAAATGCCTGTTTCAAAAACAACTTCCCAAAATGCCCAAGGACTATGTCGCGCGTCTTGTCTACGATCGCGCACATCTCTCCATGGCCATCGTCAAAATGCCTCTGGAAGTCATTGGCGGAATAACATTCCGGGAATTCCGTGACCGCGGGTTTGCCGAAATCGTGTTCTGCGCCGTCTCGTCGCACCAGCAGGTGAAAGGATACGGCGCGCATCTCATGTTCCATTTGAAAGATTACGTCAGAGCTACTGGGCCGGTGATGCATTTTCTAACCTACGCCGATAACTATGCCACGGGCTATTTTCAAAAACAGGGGTTTACCAAAGAGATCACGCTCGACAGGTCCATCTGGATGGGGTACATCAAGGACTATGAAGGGGGCACGCTCATGCAGTGCTCCATGCTTCCCCGAGTACGCTATCTCGAAGTCGGCCGCATGATTCTCAAACAGAAGGAAGCCGTCCTCGCCAAAATGCGCACCTTCAGCGAAAGCCACATCATCCACCCCCCGCCTCCGCAATGGGCCAACGGCCTCACTGTCACGTCCATCGACCCACTCTCCATCCCCGCCATTCGCGCAACGGGCTGGTCGCCAGACATGGACAAGTTAGCCCGCGAACCGCGCCACGGCCGCCATTTCAACGAACTGCGGCGTTTTCTGAATGAAATCCAGAACCACAAACAGGCATGGCCGTTCCTCGTTCCGGTGAACAGGGATGAGGTCCCCGACTATTACAATGTTATTTCCTCGCCGATGGACCTGTCGACTATGGAAGAGAGATTGGAGTGCGATTCTTATACGACTCCGAAAGACCTTGTTGCTGATCTGAAGTTGATTTTTAGCAATTGTCGCCAGTACAATGATGCGAGTACAGTGTATGCTAAGTGCGCTGTCAAACTGGAGAAGTACATGTGGAGTTTGATCAAGAAGATTCCGGAGTGGGCTGACTTACTTGAAGATTGATTGGTTCTTGTGCGTCCTGTTTCTTTTGGGGTTAGGTCTGTTATTGAGCGAAACGTTTTACATGGGATTGCGAGTTAGTCTGGGGTGGCACTGGGTTCACGTACTGCTGGCGAGAATATGCTGAGTCTTTTGGAGTTCAGCTCATGACAGCGCCGGCGCTGGGTCTTATTGTCTTGCATTTTACAATTTTGGGTTGGGTTCAGGGCTTTTTTGAATAAGGATGATACCACAGGCGATCCCTACTACTATTATACCTCTCTCTAGGGCACTTTGTCAGCTTAATACTTCGAATTTTTATCTCTTAGCACTTATACCCTCTCAATGGGCATCGCTGACACAACACTCAACCATGACTAGATTCAACTATAGTCGCGCCCCCTATCTTTCCTTTCTGTACCTGGCCAAGCTAAGCCGTGGAGTCAAGTTTCTTTTTCACTGGCATTCATACATTCCTTCCATCCTGGCAGACCTGGCTACCTATTGGCGTATCAGCACTGGCAGCTGAACACCAAGGCTAGTGGGCGAAGTGAGCGGGCAGTAGATGCTCTAATGCTACGTGAGGTGGGGGAATGAGAGGTACCTAGGTAATCGACGAAACACTTGCAGCGATGCGAAAAGCTGTCGATGAACTCGAATCTCTTCATGCAACATGACAGCCCCCATCTATCTAATTAAGATGCAAAACGTTTATTACTTCAAAATTAAAGCGCTGCTTTGAGTGATAGATAGCTACAGAGAAACGGGAGACTTGCTTGATAGAATAAAAAGGGTAGAAAAAAGAAGACCTCATCTTTCTTTGTTGATTCTTCTTAAATGAATGAGTATAGCTAAGATCTCTGGGTATAGGTACTGTATCTCCACTCTGGCTTGAGCATTGTATACAAAGCAAAATAAGAAAACAAAAACAATAATAATAACTACTACTGCACCAGCAGCAAAGTAATACAAAATCAAAGAAAATATTCCAACGTCGATATCCAAACGGCCAGGGTTAAACAAAATTGACGAGAGCGATCTAGGCCGATATGTTGAATAAGGAGTTCGGTGGGGCGGAGGTTAGACAGAGTGCGTGGAGGAAAATTGAAAAGGTAATCCAAAATTTGCGTGATATTGGTTACTCCAATCTAACGCCTGACGTCCGACGCCCTGCTGAAAGTGGCGTTCGGAATGGTGGACAATAGAAAGCCACACTGAGGGGACCACACTCATTTCGTCTTTGGTGCACAATCATCACAATATAGACCCTGGGGAGCCATGTCTTCTTCACATTTCTTGCACGTATCTGTTTCGTGGTAAAGAAAATTTTAGCAAATTTGCTTTTTTTTCTTTTTTTTTTTTTTCCCTCTTGCGAAAGTAGAACTTATCTCATATATGGATTTTGAAAGGTTGGATAATCTGGGACGTACGGAAAGAGCACAGATACAAGCCGGATTTAGGATTGACACAACGGGGCACAGCGCATTCGCCTGGAGGTTTCATTTATTACTATCAGCCTCATATTATCTAGAGAGGTAGGAGCGCTGTCCCAAGCGAAAGCGAAGGTATATACTTACATTTGCTGCAAAAGCGGTAATTTCCTTTAAGATCCCCGTCGCATTTCCCACAAGTATCTAGAAGACGGGTTAGCCATAGTCATTATCCATTCATCAAGTTGCAATATGTGATACTACTACATTCTGTAGATTTATCCATGGTGGTGGTCGGTCTGATAAATGAGCTGCTCCCAGGGGTCTGCGAATATAACTAGATATACCAGATTATGAACGACAAAATTGTAATAGGCACGTAGAGAGAGGCCTTGACGATGGGGACAGGTATGACGAAAGGTGCATCTTCAGTAGGAATCCCTCAAGCTCTTCTTATACCAACCATTTGTTATCTTCTAACCTCACTGCGGCTCTCTCCTTGAACGGCTAATCGAGATGTGTGAGAAAAAATCCCACGGCCGAACCCAACCCCCGTCCCCGGGACTTTTTCTCTACAACCACTCACTCTATCCATGAGAGATGAGAGCGCCGGACAGAACCGTTATGCACGAAATTCCCGACCCACGGTTCATGCCGGGAGATCGACACCAGTTACATAGCGGCGAGCTGTCAAATCAAACGCTCGGACACTCCCTCCTTCGCAAAGTAGCATCTGCAGGCTGTGACGCCATTGGCGTAGATAGTATTGAACAATGAAAACCCGCGGGCGCAAAGCAAACAAAGAGTTTGACCACGTAGATCCCGCAGACCCCCCAAAGGCCCGGGAAAGTTGCGAAAGAACATAACTAACCCCCGAAGCAGGGTAGGGACTTTCTCTGCTGGCGCAATTGGACTTGAGCTCCTGACGAACGGCAATCGCCACAAACTATTCGTGCGGGAATCGGACGGCATGTGACTAGATAATTTCTGAGTGGAAATTCGAGCAGGGATGGACGTTAGGCACCATCGTTCACATCCCGCGATTCTACCCGGTTATCTTTCACCCCTGTGAGTTGTTCCGGTAAGTACATGGTGATCCATTCGGGAGAGACTGTCTACGAGGCAATGAAAGAACATGAAGGTTTCTTGCACTCTGTTCGCTAGGTAAGCTTGTCCCCATTTGGGGCTGAGGCCAAGAGTTGGGAAAAACAATGAAATAGTCGTGGAAGTCTTCAAAGGCATCAAATGACACAATTTTCATTTTTCGCGTGGTGTCTTCATGAGCATCAAACTGAGTGGGAAGAGAAACAAGATACATGGAAGAATGAGGATAAAAATATTGGATGCCAACAAGCGAGGAGAGGAGAGACTATACCAGATTAACCTTAGTGGGAACAACCAACCTTAATTTAACCTCACCCCACACCCGCCGCATTATCTTGGCTTGGCGATAAAGCTTATTTTCCTCCTCCGGATTTAGCAGCATTATTGAAACATTCCTTCACAAAGTATTGACAGTCCAGGTGGACTGGAAATGTGTTGCATATCTGTTGGGAGGGACTGTAGAGATCTTAATATTGCATCTGAGGTTTCAAACAACATCCTGCTTACATTGCAGATGAATATTTCTAGAAATGAGAGTAAAGTTTATCTGCTGCCTCTGCAGAGTTCAGCAAGTGAACCAGAGAAAATCAGGGGGATCATTTTATTGTGTCTGTCATGCTACCCTTTTTCTCTTTTTCTCTCTTCCTCCATTTCTATTTTTTATTTCTATTTTCGTTTCTCTTTCTTTATTTTCTCAATGCAGAGTGAATTTAAGTAAATATATACAGACTTAGTTGTTCTAAACTTCCTATTGAGACAACGCATTTTCAGTCCTTAACTTGCTGCTATCAAACGCCATGCGAACATCCCATTCCTCACTGCCACCCGTACATGTGGAACTAGACAGTCAACCCCTGTGGAAAATTGCAGAAAAATGTGACTTCCTGCCGATCCGATCATCAATCCTGCAACCATATCGCCCAAAGTATCATCGAGCTCAGCACCAGAAGTGGTGCAACGCATTCCTTTGGCTTTACCAATGCCCGTTCCGCTCAATCCCACATTTTCAGTGTTAATGGCGCCATGGGTAATTCCGAGTTCCATGTGGATGAAGGAGAGCCCGGAGAGAACCTACATGGATCAGCCTTGAGTGTCTTTCTGTTGATAATGTTTTTGTCGACTTACCTGCTGACATATTGCCGCGATTTCGGCCTTGTTCATGAAATTGATTGCCTGGGCTGTTTTTAATATCGATTAGGGAAACATGGGACGCATCCATATCCTCATAGAGAAGAAAGAGGGTCGCGTTGCTCTAATATACCCCCTCCAGACTAACAATGACAATGTTGAGATGGCAGGCTTTCTTTAAATTACTGACCTTCTCTCCTATCGTTAACTGCCTCATCTTTACCGCCATGATATTGAAATGTATTTATTCTAGGACTCTTCCTGCAAGCAGAAGGACCCTAAGATTCTACGGTTAACGGAGAAGAATCTCCATAAAAAATGTCCGTATAAAAATAAAAGTAAAAATAAAAATAAAAATCCAATCCAATCCAATCCATTTCCCTCCCTTTGGTTCTTGTTGACGAGAAAGTAATCCCATTCTGGTCTAAATCCAATTTTATTGGCAAAGTGCGATAGGCAGTAGCATCCACATATTTTTCTTGTTTAAATATATTTGTTTTTTTAGCTGATTTTACTTTTGGCGAGCCATTGTATAAGACTCCATTTAAATTCATTTGCATTATAGTACACACCAATTTACTGGGTAGAAAATCCTTCCATCCTCTGTATCGCTGCACAGATTAATTACCTGGCCTTCCACCCAGTTGATTACAAAAGGAATTGTGGTTAAACATTCATCGGGGCTGTAACATCAGTATTCAATGCGCAAATATATAGATCATCTCTTGACCCTTAAATGAAGGATCCCACCCTGTCCATGGAGGGAGGTAGATATATCACTAGTCACCTTCCATTCCTAATTTCCCTTCGCATAAAGGGCGACAGTAGAAAGCGTTACAATCCAAGAAGGATAGTTTATTTTCCGAACACAAGCTCCTTGACAGCTGCATCGGCGGCCATCTTCTCAAGCATCTCGTCGTCGGGGCCCTCGATGCACTTGCCATCATGCGGGACCATTGGATCCAAACCATACATGTGGCAGTTGATTTCGGGGCCAGCTATCCCCCACTCGCGGTAATGGAGCTCAGACATGAACTTGGTGGGCTCCTCATCGTCATTGATTTGATACGCATCTTCAAGGTCTATTATGTAGCTGCAGAATATCGTTAGGGTAAGCAATGATAAAACTGTGTACGGGGTATGTATGTCCAGTTTACCACACATACCACTTCTTATTCTCAGGGTCCCACATCAGATTGCGACGGTTAGGGTCATTATGCATGAACCTGAAGGCGTAGAATTCGCTGGCAACTATGTCAAATCTGGAAATCATCTTTCAAAAAGAAGGAATGAATGGGTTGAGAATTGCAAGGCCAGGAGGGATAACTTACCGGATTGACTTAGCAAAGGCCAACCGGACTTGGTCCCTCTCAGACATGGGCAATCAGCAAAATTAGCCAAATTGCGCCCTGGTAATCTTTCCATCACAAGGAAGAAAAGGAAGCCACCTGGAACAGGATCCTTCTCTTTTTGAATTAGAGATGCATAGTCTAGTAGCTTTGGAATACAAGTGCAACCAAGTTTGGTGAGTGTGTCATGATTATAAAACTCAAATCCAACGCGACGGCTGCTATGTTTAGGCTTGGTTGATGAAGGGTTCCCAGGATCATCAGGGATCCTACACATGTCAAGGTGTCAAGGTTAGAAACAAAGCAGACATGGTGGGAGACAAGAAACTTGGAGGCCATGTCTGCATACTGCATTCTTATCTTTGCAATGCCCTGAACTCCGGGGTTGGGCTCAACCTGAGTTGCGACGCATGTACCACATGTCTCTGTCATATATGTCTCATAGATATCATCATCTCCATAGGTCTCGCGTTCTGTGAAGACCGGGCCAAGTTTCCACAGTATCTTTGAGCGAGGATTCATAAAGAATGGGGTGTCTCGCACCCAGATGATCTGTTGTGATAGAGCTCAGCAAGGTCATCCTTTAGCTCACTAACATTCATTGTCGACTTTGTGTGGAGCTTGCTTTTTTTTCTCAAATATTGCTTGGAAACTGCAAAATGGTGTATGATTCAAGAGGAGGGAAGTTCAAGAGTTGCCATGCACTTTTCGACGGGCTTGGCGCCAAGGCCTGGACAGACTACATTCTAGGCACCAAAAATATACATACTTAGTATCAGCCTCAAGGGGTAAGAGGCCTCAAGAATGGGATATCTGAACTGCGCATCTTGTGATACCTCTGTTTAATCCGTTTTTAGCGGCATCTTTTTTTGTTTCAACTAATTTTGAACATGCTTAATAATCACACGCCATGCATCAGGACGCACTTTCCAGATGTCTCTATGCACTGGCTCCGAAAGCATAGTCGGGCCATGGCCATTGATGCGGCGGTTGCTCCCTTTGTCGAAAGCTCCCATATGGCTGATACAGTAGTCCCTGGGAGTAGATTATAAAGGGGCTTTCGGAATCACTTAGGCATAAGAAGGAATCGAAGCAAGTCAATGCTACTAAGTACGGGCTAACGGTGAACTTATAACCTCGTAACACATTCCCTGAAGTGGTAATATATTAGCCATTTTTGGAAGGTGATGTATAAGCTCGATCCGTGTCTTCTGCTATCTACCGTAAGCGCGCGGTTTCGGCCCCGGTGCACCTCGCTCGGCGCTCGCTCGCTCGTTCCTCTTCTTCCCTCTGGATTCGGTCCCGCTCTACCGCTAGCTGCGCCGCGGCCATTCCCTTTGCTCCGTTTCGGTCCGATCGCGACATAGGGACACTCTCCAAGCTCCAAGAGAGGCGGTCCTTAGCTCTAGATCGATCAGTCGACGATGCGGTTCAGAGGAACACTGGCACTTTGTGCTTTGTGTTGCATTTCGTGTGATAGCTGGATTTTTCATACAATAGTAAGCATTCTTCCATCATGAGAGATTTCGCTCCAAGCTTTGCTTTCCATGATTTAAGGTTTGGTTTGAGACCACTAACTAGTAGGAAAGGCACCCATGGTTCCTAGGCTGCGAGACGGGAGAAAGTGTACTCCGTAGTTAAGTTAGCATTGGACGGTAGTTTCGGTAGACGGTGAATGTTATGCGAGAAAGAGACCACGAAACCCGAAATTGAGATTCTAAGTTATTTCTGCTGTCGAGCACATTACGCTGCTGCTATTTATGTATATGTATAACTATCCCAGGGTCTGGATGTTGTGTGGCGTTGCCGATCAAGCGTGGAAGCACAAGGGTGAATGCTGGCCTGTCATTGGCTGGCTGGGTCACTTGGCGATGGCTTGGCAGGAGTCATCAGCCTCATCAGATCAGATATCAGATATCAATTTGTATTAACGATTCAGATATAAACAACATAATAACTACTGTTACGCACGCAGGACTTGTGTATGTGTGTGTGTGTGTGTTATTATGTGTATGTGATTGTGGCCTGATATGATATGATACTTCCCCTGTTGATATCGATAACTATGGCTGTGCAGCGTCAGCCCTGTCCGACGCCACAACACACGTCACCAAGCCTTCTGTCAGCGTCCTGAATTACCAACTCGGATGCTCCCCTCCTCTCCTCCCCTCTCTCTTCTCTTCTCCCATCTCTACCATCTTATCCCGGTCTGCCCTCCTCGTGTCCCAGCCATTTGAGCCATTTGAGCCATTTGTTGCCTTGACATATGAGACGAACCTTTCTTGTTTGGTGGCCGCGTCCATCCCATCCAGGGTCCGCGTCAACTTAAGGTTGGATTATGGCATCATAAGCTCGGGGCTGGTGTCCCGTCACAGAAAAAAAAAAAAAAACCTGCTATTCTCCCCCTTTGGTAGCCATGTCAGCGCCATTCTCCGCCTCTCCTTTCTTCCTTTGTCTGCTACCGCCTTGAATTGCTATTCTCAAACTCCCCACTCCCCTTTTCTTTCTCCTGTTGCAGCTCTTGGGGTCTGTGGTGGCGTCGGATTTTATCTATCTACTGCTATTTCTGTTTTCTGCCTGTCCTACATACATCACTTCTTGTGCTATCTCTTCCTCTTCCTCTCCTTCTTCCTCTTCTCCTCCTCCTCTTCTCCTCCTCCTCTTCAACTTCATTGAACCACCGCAATCCTCATATATCCTTGCAGCCCGCTGCATGATGCTTTTTACCTCCCCAGCCTCTCTAGTGAACGCAAATATCCTCCGTAACTCCTCCATCTTCACCCGCCATGTAGCCCAACAGCCCGTGGCGGCAGCCCTCGATGGCTGGCCTCCTCACGTCCCAGACGCCTTCAATCTTCAGCAAGCTGCCCAAGCTGCTCAACCCCCTCTGCCGCGCCTGGTCCTCCTGGTCTTCGCCGCCGTCCTCGAGGTCGTTTGCATCAGTCTTCCTGGCTATATCGTGGCCCGCATGGGCATGTTCGACGCCGACGCCCAGAAATTCGTCGCCAATCTCAATGTCGTACTGTTTACCCCATGTCTCGGTATGTTTTTAAGCCCAATCTATTAACATATTCCAGTCCCATGTGTATATACTATCTATATCTATTTATATATTGTTGCTGACTGCCGGATTTTCTCCGAAGTGTTCACGAAGCTCGCCTCCCAACTTACCGCGGATAAGCTGACCGATCTAGCCATCATCCCTTGCATATTCGTGATCCAGACTTTGGTCTCATACCTATGCGCCGCCGTGATCTCCCGTCTGTTTCGCTTCAGGAAGCGCCAGTCGAACTTTGTCATTGCCATGGGTGTATGTATATATCCCTTGCTACATAGTGAGATAGTATGTTAACCAAATTACAGGTTTTCGGCAACTCCAATTCGCTGCCCATATCTCTCATCTTATCGCTATCCCACACCCTCGAAGGCCTGCATTGGGATCGCGTTCCAAACGACAGTGACGATGAGGTTGGTGCCAGGGGTATCCTCTATCTCCTTATCTTTCAGCAGCTAGGCCAACTGCTTAGATGGAGCTGGGGCTATCGAGTCCTCCTTGCCCCGCCAGAGACATACTACAGAGACGAAGAAGAGCTCGACGCTAGTCGTATCGGCGTTTCTGAACGGTACACTGATGAACCGGACGACACTGTGGGACATGGCCAAACGCTCATCGACACCACTGACGATCATAATGCCGGACATGACACGCCTAGCACCTCGTCAAGTTCAGGGGATGTCTCCCACTTTGAATCCGGAGGGCAAACCCCCATAATGGCGCGACAATACCCCTTCTCAAAACTAGTCGCGATGGATGACTCAGGGGAAGTTGAAACTGAACAAGAAGATCAAAACCAGCATCCTCCTTCCCCTGTCCTTCATCTACCACCGCCAAACGGGCAATTCCTCCCCCGCCAGTCCTCTACAGGCGCAATTACTTTATTTCCAGCCGTAGAACTCCAACTGCAACCACAACAACCCTCCACCTGGCGCAATCCACTCCAAAAACTCTCCAAACAAGCCAAATCAACCTACCACACCCTCATATCAAGCCTTCACAACCGCTCCACAAGCCTTTTCCATGCCCTCCCTCTCCCACTCCAGAAGTCCATACGAACTGCGTCTCACCACCTCACCCGCTTCTTCCGCGGCCTATGGGCCTTCATGAACCCACCGCTCTGGGCCATGCTAGCCGCCATAATCGTCGCCTCCATCCCCTCCCTCCAGCGCCTCTTCTTCAGCCCCAACACCTTTATTAAAAACTCTGTCACCCGCGCCGTCGAGCAGAGCGGCAACGTCGCCGTACCACTAATCCTCGTCGTCCTCGGCGCGAATCTCGCCCGCAACACTCTTCCCAACAACACCTCCACCTTAACAGGCAAACCCTCTCAAGATGATACCCACGACCCTTACCCGCGGGAAGAGCGAAACCTAATAGTCGCCTCGCTGCTCGCGCGCATGCTCCTTCCCACGCTAATAATGAGCCCCATCCTCGCGCTGGCGGCTAAGTTCGTACCTGTGAGCATCCTAGACGACCCAATCTTTGTCGTCGTGTGTTTCCTGTTGACGGGGGCGCCGTCGGCGCTGCAGCTGGCGCAGATTTGTCAGCTGAACAATGTGTACATGGGCGCGATGGCGAGGTTGTTGTTCCAGAGTTATGTTGTTTGGTGGGTTTGCCCTTTGCGTTTTTCCTCATTTTTTTTTTCCAGCTTTCTACATCTATATTTTAGTGAGACCTGTTATGAAAACTAACATAATAAACCGCCATAGGATCCTCCCCTCCACGCTTATCCTTGTCGTTCTTGCGCTCCAAGTCGTCCAGTGGGCGACCGCGACGTGAAATGCATAATAAATTACATCCGTGGATACCATGAATAGCGGAGTGGAATCGAATGAATCGAAAATACCCGCACAGCCACCCACTAGCACTATCAAATCACATCTGACAAAACAAACCCTTACTGGATATCCCTTCTTCCCCCTTCTTCCAAAATCTCCGTTCAATCAAAAAGAATTTGGGACGATACCCCTTCCCCCGCTTTTTTTTTCTCTCTTAGTACAAAAGAATGGGTCACGGATTTTATTTACTACCCAACACCACCACCAACACCAACACCTCAACCTCCTCATCTACGATCCGAGCAAAACAAATCGCCCTCTCCAATCCACCCACGCCCGAGTTGATTGGATCCGATAAAAAATAAAAAAAATAAAAATACAAAAGGGGGCTACCGTCCCTGCGTTAAAATAATGGTAGTAACATGCTTTCTTTACCTGGAGTGGGTTCCCAGTTTCTGGCCTCCTAACCCAGGATGTTTATGTCTGTATAAAATGAATTGATATGATATGATAACTATGATATGATATGATGGGATGATATGCCTTTTTTACGTTTGGGTTTGATTTCAATTGAGTTTCTGGATGTTTTGGTGTCAGGGGGGGTTATTCTCAGGCAATTCAAAAGGGTGGTGTCTTTGTGGGTTCTGCTCTGTTCTGCTCTGCTCTGAGAGAGAAGGGGGGGAGAATAGGAAAGAGAATTAAAAAACGACATCGTTTCTTTCTTTTCTTTCTCCCGCCTCCCCGTTTTCTTATGTTTGTTGGTGGGAAAACTGGAAAAGAAAAAATATAAATGCGGAACTGGACCTGGAACTGGGGGGACAAAACAAGAGGGCAGAACAGTTGGGTTTACTGGTTTATTTATTTCATTAGAGTATGTGATGCGATGCGAGGCGAGGCGAATACCCGTTTTCTATTCTATGCTTTCCCCATTTTTTTTTTTTTTTTTTTTTTTTCTTTCTCATTTTGGGACGTGTACATGTACATTATGTATGTAACGCAAGATATCTTGTCCATATGCTCCTTCCATCATTTCACATTCAAGCCTTCTACATAGGTAACACGCATACCAAAAATCCAACGTTCCTTCCTCAAACCATGTATGTAAATGCCCCTTGGGCAACGATATACACTACACTGCGCCTTCCCGTTTTTCCACTCAAGTAAACCCGAAAATACACAGGCAATTGTTGTCCCTTCCTCTGGTCATATACTCTCGTCATCCACTCTCCATTGCACCTTCCCCAAAAACGCGCAGCACGACATGACATCCTCCTCCAAAAAATAAACTATATAGGCCAGACCTAATTCTCATCCATCTCTTCCCTCTACCTCCGCAAGTCCTCACGCTCGTTTACCACAACCCCTCTCCTATCCCTTACCCCCCAGCCTACCCCCGCTACCGCGACTGCTACCGCCAAACGCCAAACACACCAAATGCCTCGACATGGACAAGGACAGCCAGTCCACCAGCAGGGATGACAGCGGCAACAACGAGCAAATCGAAGCCCAAGCCCACGCTCTAAACCGAGATCTAGCCCGCATCGCAATACCAGAGGAGCTACAGCGGCGCCTGCCCATCCCTAGAGCAATCCGGCACATTGCCCGCGTGTGTCCGTGGGCTGTTCTTTTGGTGGGAGCTTAGTATTCATTCGAGAATTCTCAGCAGCCTGTGGCGCGGAGGGGGCCGATTTGAGGGGAAGAATGGGGATTCGTTGCTTCGTTTTATTTCTCGTATCTTTTTCTTTTCGTTTGTTGTTGTTAAGTTTTCCTTACTGGATCTGGATTTTGGATTGGGGGCGTCATTCGTTTTGTTGGCTCATTTTGTGTACGTATGACACTGCGCTGCGTCCCAATTTTCCTTTCTGAAAAGGTGGAGGGTGTGAGGAGAGGAAAGAGTTTCAATCAAGGCGACAGTGGGGCTAACCTGGGTGTCATGTTAAATGCTTGGTTCTCATAGTTCTTAACCTCGTATTTGCTTTGGTATCGTAATAGCAATGGATCAACCACCGCGAAGCCAAGACAACGTGGGATACCCGCTGCCTCCTCATTCCCTTTACTCAGGAGTTGAATTGGGGCCGAGATCCACAGATCCATCCACTTTTGCACCGTCGCCCAAACCCATACCACAGCCTCAAACACAAGCGCAAATACCAGCAGCGTCACAGCCGATAAAACAGTTATCCCACCCGCCACTGATATCAATGGGATCGGAACCCACCGCAGCATCGAAGCAAAGTGATGTGAACTCTGACAACTGCAATGGTCCCAGGCATAGCGTAGATGAGATCCCGACCGTGACAATTTCGTTGATTAAAGAGATCGCCATAGCCATGGCAGATGAAATGACCAGGAAAAATCCCACAGCCGATTTAGTGCACTCTGCGTTGGAGGCAGAGTTCGCCGTTAACAGGTTGCGTGCCGTTTTCTCAGATTCAGGGGCGCCTGGGCTACCTTGGCGGCGTAAAGTTTGCTTGCCGTTCGGTTTGACATTGGATCGGTATATAATTCTCCCCAACGCTGTGGAGATGGAACGTTTGAGTCCGGAAGTGATCGAGCTCGCCAAAAAGAACCTGAGCTATCAGACACGAAGGAGGGAAACTCTACCTCTGCATGACGTCATCGGAGGCTTAAACACAGCAATTACTCAGGGTACACTTTTGGCCGTGGAAGATGGGACGATATTAGTGGACCTTCGTGAAAACCTTGTCGTGAAGGTTGGCCTGTACAATATGCTCGATGACATTTCAATGCTGCGATATATCAGAGAAAATACCCAAATCCCGCTACCAGTAACGCACGGCTGTCTTAGAGCCGTAGACATGCACGCGGAATGGGGATTCCTGTTCATGTCAAATTATTATGATAACGGATGCACACTGGAGGAGCTCTGGGGCCAGCTCAATCATACAGAGAAATGGTCAATAGGCGTCCAGCTAAACGGCATTTTTGGAGCACTCAGATCCGTTGAACTCCCATGCCCATTTCCAGAGTACCGAGAAATACTTGGTGGTGGCTCCCAATGTCGTCGCTGCAAAGATTCACGAGGATTCACGTATTTAGCAACCACCCCTATCAGCAACGAAGACGAGTTCAATTCGTTTCTCACTCGCCACCCTTGTGATATCAACGAGCGGAGTTTGGAAATTAAGCCTCGTCTTCAAGAGAATCACAAGCTGGTGATGACCTATGCGAATCTCCATCCTCGGAACGTTATAATAAGCCCTTGTCGTGTCCCAGAGAGTACTCTGAGCCTGCCTCAGCAGCTACAATATGAAGCCGCACGCCGGGACTGGCGTGTGACGTGTCTTGTCAACTGGCAGAGGGGTGGGGTGTACCCTGAACACTGGGAATACGTAAAAGCTCTGAACCCAGCTGACACCGCGGGATGTCCCCCACAGTGGTGGTACTACCTGCCACGCTCGATTGGGGTGTGGCCGCGGGAGCATGCGGTTGATAACTTGATAGTAGTGCCATAGATATATTCTTGTATAATTTGCTTTGGAAACGGTTTTGATTATTTTACCCCTTTCCTTCCGTTCTTTCTTGATGTACAAAAAGGGGGGCTTTGTGATTACTTCTCTCTGTCATTCTCTTTTTTCTGCTTCAGAGCTGTTTATCATATGTTTCTTCGGTGGCTTTTATTGCATTGGGTTCGTGCCCAAACATCGCGGTTAATTGAAAAAGTGGGGAGTAAGAAGCATAAATTCGCAATTCAAAGACGTCAACTTACCTGTGATTTTAGCTTCTCTTACGTATTGAGAAATGTAGTTAGCTCAGCGTAATCTGAAGACTATTTTAACTTACTAAAAGGGGACGCCTCCATTTTAGGTTTGGGCATATGCAACATCTCGATTTTCCCACGATTGTGAGTCGGTCTAGAACCATTTAAAGTGCATTAGTATGATATCCGCGTGCCGAGCAAAACTTGCATCTTGCGGCAGATGCGAAGCTTGCCAGTGACTGTAAAGGATGGGTCTTTTTCCACGGCAGAAGACGTCTATTTTCAAGAGAAGCTAGAGCTCAATCTGGCTCTAGTTATTATGATAGTTAGTCCTATACTCCGTATAGTAATTGACGATGTTAAAAGGATCGCGGTCAGATCAGAATGGAGGTCAAGATATGTTGGCCCTTACGGCCGTTGCGGTTAGCGATCCCACTAGATCACGTGACCCACCACTATAATATGTTCCTGTAGATAGATCTATCAATACAACCTTCAACTATTCTACAGGTTATAGCCCGGATGGCACATTTTTCTTTTTAGAATGTTGTACCAACATATTTTTGACATGGATAGTTCACCTTTTTTGGAAAGACTCTTACTCTTTATTAGAGATATTTCATTTTTCCTGAATCTGTCAGTCAGTGAATTCATATACTTTATTTTTTTTGAGAAAGTGTGTTCTTCATTGTGAAGAATATCACTTTTTTATTTTTTTTTTTTACATATCTAGAAGAAGCAGAGTCATCTTGATATGAGTGATACATCTGTTACTTCAGAGTTCAGCTCAAGGCTCAGAATCACACACTTCACTAGACAACTCATTGATAGAATGATCACTTATTATAAGAAAGCTCCTGACTTGCAAGATGAGGCTGAGATCAGTTTTTGCCAGAGTATGAAATTTGATGATGATGAGACAACAGAGAAACTTCAGAATAAAGAAAAGCAGAGTTAATATTCATCTGCAGAATCTGTTCATTTCAACTCTTCAAATTCTTCACTATTTCTCATCTCTGAAATGCTGACTTTTAATAGTAATCTGAATCAATCTATCTATTGCATCACAGGCAATCTTATGAATCTTATACAGATGATGCTATAGAATCAGATGACTGCAGCTGAAATCACTCAATATCTTACTATATCTGTACAAAGAGACACTATGAGAGATGAGTTACAGAAATATCAGAAGAAAGTTAAATATACACTAGATATTAAATTAGTGATCATATTTGATAACTCTAATTATAAAGTCTGATATATTAATATATTAACTGATATGAAAGTTATTAATGAAACTGACATTCTATTAAGAACTTAATGAGAATTCTCTTTTACATATTATATTAACTCTGAGAAGTGAAGAATCTGTTCTAAGTCTCTATATAGATGTATGCTATTGAGTCTTATTGAAAATGTTTGAATCACTATTAAAATCTTGAAAACTGATAATACTGCAGCTCTGTGAGATAAGATTAATATTGAATATATAATATCACTGACAGAAGAATAAGTTAATATCTTCAAGAAATTGATAAAATTACAAGTCAAGAAGAATGATTATCTTACTTTTCAGAGATATTTCTGCTATCTTATTATCTGTTACAAGAAGCTCTGTCAGAGCACTGAGAATATATATTATAATCTCTTTCTCAACAATCTACAAGATTATCAAAGACTGTTTATCAAGATATATTTGAATGAGTTTTTCTTCACTAGTCAGAAACTCATTATCAACATTAATATTAATAATTTGATGAAGTAACTGATCAATTATACATTCAAGAAGATCATCACTGAGTGAAAAAAGCAGTCTCAGATCAATTCTGTGACTGTGAAGAAGAATAAGAATAAAGATAAGAACAAAGATGAGAATAAAAGCATATCTGTATGAAAGTGTATTCACTGCAGAAGATATAAATATACTGTTGACAGGTGTTTTATCTTACATTCTGATAAAAAGAAAAAGAAGAATGACAAGAAGAATGATAAGAAGAAAGAGAAGAGAAATGACTTAATAAGTTCTTAATTAACAGTGAATACAGTAATTATAAAGATTGAGTTCTATTTCTCTTTCACAGTCACTGAAAAATCATTCTCTAGATCTTGATATTTGAACACATATACAAGCCTGAATATGATGAGTGAGCTTCATTCTTTTTCAAATATCAAACCTTTTAATGATAATATCTCTATCAATTCTGTGACTGAGGGAACTGAGTTTGTCAAGAAGATTGAGACTAGACTAGCCGCCGGGACCATGAATTTCACATTTGATCCCATTTGGTCTGATCTCATACATTTCTTGGCGTGAGTCCCACCAGAACCAAGCCTCAAAAAAATCTGAAAATGGACCATTTCTGAGAGAAATAGTGTGAAAAATGACCAGATTTAATTCAAGAACAGTGAAATGAGAGTAATTTTTCAGAATAAACTGTGAAAGATGATCATTCTTTCAAAATCAGAATGAGACTGGGACTGAAGGTCAAAATCAGTCCTATTCAGTTCATTCAGTGATTGCTTATATAATCAGAATTTGGTAATGATTATTGATAATGCTCATGAAACAACTAAATACATTCTTGTGCAAGTTTATTCTTCACTTTCTCATGAAAACTACACTTCTCTGATATACTGTCATCAGAGGTATTAAACTGTCTGATAATTTCATGTTTTACAATCATGAGTTTCTTGATTGTTTCTCCTTGTAATTATCCCCAGTGATAGTGATAAATATCTTGACTTGAGTTGAACTTTCACTCCATTCCCACCCCTGTCAATGAAATTGCCAGAATATCACATGCCATCAGTGTAACAGTTGAATATGTACTCTCAACAATTTTTCATAACTCTAGAATTGATTTGGTGTGTAAATTCATCAGATCATCTTGAAGATAGTGATCAAATTCAGTTTTACAAGTATGTAGTTTTGTCTGATTTTCAGTTGCAATCAATATATGCAAGTTCTGTTTCAAAGTTAGTATTATAGTTCTATGTGATATGAAGCATTACCAAAGATTGTTACTTACTAGAGAATTGTATTCCACTGTCTTCACATCTTGAACATCTGCTTATTCAAATCTCTGATAGTTGGCATTGTAGTAGTCTCAGGCTAATTTAACATATGAGTCTTGTTTCTTCTCTGTTCAATCTTGAGAAGTGTAGATGTTAACTTAATGAGAGGGATCTAGTAGAGCTGCTACAGCATAGTACTCTGCAAAAGATTGTTTCATTTTGCTGTAGTAATATACCAGTTTATCCCTTGCAGCAACAATAGCCTGCACTATAGCATTATCTCAGACTGAATTTCTTTTTGAGTGATTCAACTGCTTCTCAAGATGAGTAAATAAACTGTTATACACTCATCAGACTGACTGCAGCATTGATGTACAAGTGATTGAGACTGTCTTTGTTGTCTTATAAAACTGAAACAGTAAATCAATCACATATTTCAACTGAGTTCACTTCATATCAGAAAGTTTCAATATCTGAATCTTTTTCTGATCAGAGTGTTGCACTCAATGATCAATTGTCTGACACAATTGAAGAGCCTGAACAGTCATCTCATATGTTGAACTTCACTGTGTTCTAACATCCTGTATCATATTCAGTGATGTGACTGATTTATTTATTTGTTGAATATCATGAAATTGTTGTTGTTGTTTAGAAGAGGTATAAATCACATTAGCAATGTTTTGAATCTATAATATTTAAATTATTAGTCAATCTATTCAAAATTAACAGTAGTGTTATCAAAAAGTGTTATCAAAAAGCAATATCAAAAAGTGTTATCAAAAAACATTATCTTTTGCAAAGTGAATGTAAAAGTTACTTGAGTAATCACTTTCATCTCATTCTCATCTCAAGAACCAGCCATCTCATTATTCTTCATCTTGATATTAAGATTCTTTATCAGTGTTTGCATCACAAGTTGAACCACATGAGCAATGCAGGGGATATGACCTTGTTTATCATTTCAGAAATGCAAAGCCAATTTTTGCTCCAAGCTCTTCATCATAGTGTAGTTATTCACAGCATTGTCAGTTGTAATTGCAAGAAGACTGGGACTAATATCTCAATAGTCATTTTTAATCACAGTCATTAATACCTCTGTCATATAATCCCCAGTATGACTACTGATCAATGATTCAAATTCAATTAATGTCTCTTAATAAGTTCAGTTCTCATCAATGTAATAATATGTAACTCTCATAAATGCAAGATTGTTTGTACTAGTTCATGCATTCACTGTGAGAGACACTCTTCAATGATTCTTCAACTCTGATTCTAGATGTTGCATATTGACTTTGTAGTGTGTCTCAAGGTTGGACTGAAGACAGAATCAATGTGGAATATGAAGATTTGAATTAAGCATTTGAAGAAGTGTTCAGAATTCAGGGTTTTCAATTGATTAAAGAGGAAGATTCAGAGATATATACATGTGAAGTAATTATTCATGAAAGTTATCAGATAAGAGTTGTGGAATCAGAGTACTGATATGAGATCATTTTCACATGATTTCCTTCAAATTAGAAAGTTAGTGTTATCAAAAATTGTTACCTGGTAGAGCAACTTACCAGCTCAGTAGTAATTTTCTGATTATTTTTCTTTTGTTGTCTGCATTCTGATGACTTCAGATGTCAGGAAATTTCTCCAGAGCTATGACCAGTTCATGATGAATGTTTCTAAATGAAGTTACAGTGATTATAGCAGAGAGATGACTCTTCAGTAATCTGCAATACAACCTGTTGATAATTATTCCATAGTTCATCTCAATGTTTGTGTTGAGTTTTTCATAAATTTTGTGGCCTGGAATCAGATGTGAAGAATGAAGTGATTATTCATCATAATTGAAAGAGAGCATTCTGTATTGAATTGTAAATAACATAGACTTTGTAATTCACAGTGATTTCTTGAAGAGTTTGTGAATCTTCAATAGAAGTAAAAGAAGTGAAAGAAGTGAATTCAGAAGACATGATAATAATTTAAGAAAGATGATAATTTATTTTCAATAACTGATCACTGATGTGTGTAAGAAGAATTAATATAAGAGAAAATAATCTTGTTTCTTAGCTTAGTTATAATTTTAGTACTAACTCAGATTGAATATCATTGATGTATAAAAGTAAACAAACAATCTTGATTAATCTCTGTCATATTTCTTAAAATATATTAATATTGTGAAAGAGAGTATTACTAAATTACATTATCAGATGATATCATTAAAAATATATTAATATTGTGAATATCAATGTTGAAAAAATGTTGATACTTATACATTATAGTGATTTGTGAATCATGATAGTTAAATATATATATATATATATATATTGTTCCTGACTTGATTACAACTTGTACAATAATTTTTAAAAACTTAAAATTAATTTCAATTATTAATAATTATGAACTTACAACTAACTAATATAAAAAGAAAAAAACTTTTTCTACTCATTATCTTTCTTCTCTTTCTCATTCTTCTTATTATTCTTCATAATTCACTTCTCATTCTTCTTCTTCTTCTCCTCCTCCTCATCTGAGATGATAATCATCTCAAAATCTCTCTTCACTGTCTTCTCAGAGAAGGGTTCTCACTGCTCTTCTTCAGCCAGGTCAATCTGCATCTCAAAATCCTGCATTTTCTGATCTGCTGTCTCAGGTTCCATCTCAGCAGCAAGCAGATTGATATGCTCAGAGAGCAGAGCTGTCTTCTCAATGTTCTGAATCATGAAGTGCATTCAAGACCTGAACAAGGCCTCAATTCTCTTCTTCTCTGCCAGCTCCTGCTAATCAATTAGAGAACAGAAGTATTATCAAAAATCATTATCTCTCAATAAATAAAAAACTTATCAGTTTTGACTTCTTTGTCTCCTGCTTCAACACTCTCTCAATCTTCTTCTATCACTGCTTATTTACAGTAACACTCTTCTTCTCTCTCTCTCTCTTCATCTTAGTCTC